AATATTAGTATTAATTATTATAACAGTATAGATTTATTTAATTTTATATTATTATCACTATTAACTTTTAAGGCTAGTATATTTCCATAGAATAATCTAAATAAGTTCATAGTATAAATATGCAATATTATCTTCAAATTAATCTACGAATTTCAAAAATGACATTAAGTATAGTAAAATTCATTATAATATACATAACAGTTTTAAGTCCCTATAAATAATAATTTTAAATTATAATAAAATAATTAAAAAATGTATTTATTATTGAAATATACGATTTCGTCTAAATTAAAACTTGAAATAATTGTGTTAGTGTATATATTTTTTATTTTTTGGTTCTGATAACAAAATAACAAAAATCGTTTGAAGAGAGATAATTTTTTTACTGGTAAATAATATGTGATGTAGCTAAAATTAAAATTTCAAAGTTTAAAAAAAAAATAATTTGATTTTCTGGTAAAGATTTAGTATAAGTTAAAAAACAATTAAATATACTCGTTATAATTGTAACTAGATCTATCAAATTTTTAATTTTTTTTTTCAATTTATATATACAATCTTTAAAATTTTATTTACAACAAGAATATTAGTTATAAATAATTTTAACGCGAATTACATGAAAAAAAAGAAGTAACCCTGCAGCGTTTACGCTTTATATTTGATTGATTTTCTTTTATAAATTTTTTAATAAATATAAATTTTAAATATTTAATATAAATTAATATTATTTATTTTTTATTTTTCCTTGATTTTTTTTTTGTTATTATTTTTATTTTTATTTTGATAAGGAATTAAGTGTTTAGATCGCAATACTATCTTCTCTTAAGTCTACTTTGGAGGTTTCTAGATATTAAGTCTGAGTGAAGTGTTGAGATTAGTGGGTTAGGGTGATTTTCTAGTCATGAACGGGAATGTTAATGTATAATTGAAGACATTTCTGAGACGTTTTTGATGTGTAGGTCTATGTGAATTGTGTGGTAGGAAGAGTCCTTAGTTATCATATGCAGAGTGATCGATTGGAATCTTTGTATACTGTTTAGATTTGACAATTTAGCCACATCCATTTTCTGGATACCTTAAGTCCAAATGGGCATGAGAAGTTGCTTATAAGATTAGTAGTTTGGTATTAATGTTGAGTTTTGAGTTAATAATTTAAGTTTATTTTTGAAGTTTAGTGCGGTACGTTTAGTTACACTATTATAACATGAATTATTTCAGTATATGATAATAATGTATTATACGAAATACTTATCTCAATTGCAATTCAATTTTGTATTTTTTTTATATTTATGTATTTTTTTTAAATTTAAAATAATAATAAAAAAAAAAAACAAATAATAATAAAATAAACTATTATGTAATACATATCAGTTTCTGTATAATTCTCGTGAATTCTCACATTTTCCCGAAAATTGCACATCACTTGACATAATAATGTAATATGCACATGTTTTACTTATCTTATCTTTGAGTAAACATAGTAAAAAATAAACTTACTATTTTTATTCGTAAAATATTATCGTTTATAGTATAATAAATGTACTTTCTTTAAATGAAAAACAAGATTTTGTAGAAGTTCACAATGCCACAGAAATTATCCATACAATGCTTTCATTTTAAATAATTCTGATAAAAAATGTTCAAACGTCATAATACATTTAATATTTGTTTTGTAATGTAAATGATGAAATATTCATTTCACATTAGTTATAAATATCTACAAAACGTCTCCATGCAATTGAAAGATACAATTACTACAATAAATTAATGTAATATGAAATAATATATAATGCTAATAGCTTTAGTTACATATTAAATATTCTGAAGCAGATGAGAAATTGAGAAGAATAATTTAAAATAATTATTATTTGGTTTTTAATTTAAGACGATGTTAGCGAAACTCCTGTCATCTGCAATATTCTTGTCGTAAATAAAATGAAGTATAACAAATTCTTTGTATTGAACTTCTAATCTTATAAAAAAAAACCCTCTAAAATTGGTTAAACACAGAGCTTGCATTTGAAAAAAAATTTTGTTCTACATTATTTACAATTAAAACGTTACGTTTTACGTTATGTTTTGTTTGATGTTATATCATATATTTTGTTAATCGTTGTGTTTTATTTTGTGTTATTTAATGTTATTTAATTGTTTGTGTCTATCGTTTTCCGTTATAATTACGTTTACAAATTTCAATTGCTTTTTGTTAAATATAATGTTATTATAACGTTTGCAAGCCCTGGTTATACATGATTTATTAAACAATTTAGTAAAATTTTAGATAACATGATAATATAGTGTTAATTTTATAATATAGGGCTTTTTCAATATAAATACGCTGTGTTGTTTTTAATAAGCAATTAATTGACTCAAAGTATATCACGTGCCAGTAATAACAAAAATCCTTGTAAAACTGTAAAACACAAAAGATATATTTATAATCTTATATTTTTGTATTAAATACCTTAATATTTCACTAGATTCAAAATAAATTATACACTAAAACGTCTAAAACTACTTGTATCTGTATTAATATTATGATTTTATATTAATTACGTTCCCTTCAAGCAAAGAATAACTAGTGGGTAACTTCTTAATCATATAAATCACAATGTATTATTCTTTTTCCCCATATACTTATTGTGCTTTAATTAATACAGATTGTATATTTATTGTAAAAAAATTTAAAAATTAATATATTAATCACGTTGGTGACATTGAGGCTAATAACAAAAATTATCAACGTTTATGTAATTGTTAAGATTATAAAATATTTTAGTTATAAGATATTAGTATTAAATTACGATATTTTATACTTCGAATAAAATATATTTGATACAAAAATATATTTTACGAAAACGATTATAATAGAAAATATAATGTTAACAATTAACAGTTTTCGAATCTTTTGATACTTCTTAAACAACACACACACAAAAAAAAATAAAATATTTCATTAAATTTTAAATCTTTGAATTTAATAATGTTAATACTAAATAATAGATTAATGTTGTTTATTTTATGCTTCTATATAATTGATAAATGTTACATTTTTATTGACTACTTCACTAAAAATTCTATTAAAATAAATTAAAATATTTTACTATTTAAATACTTAATGAAGTATTATTAAATTATTTCAATTTTTCACAAAGCTTATTTTAATTAGACTACACATACATTTTAATTAAAACGTATTACTTTAAAAGAAATGATTCATTATTGTATAACCACACGTATTGAAATAATTTATTTTGATCATTAAAAATTTATGAATTAAAATATGTTCTTAGAATAAATAATATTATGCTCTTTAGGTTTTAAGAGATAGTGGTTGAAAATATCATTTTAGTTTCGTTTAATACAATGCATTATAAATGTAAACCTATTAGAGTTACTTAAAAGTTTGATTTAAATTTTGTAGACGAGTCCCTTGAGTGTTATGATGGTAAAGTTAAGTCAATTTTAGTTTAAAATACCTTTAAAGAAACTATTAATTATCCATATTAATTTTTAATATGAAATTAACTCATTCTTATAAATTATAATTTATTTATATTGTATTATTGTTCGCATAAAAATTTTACATTAATTACTAAAAATATTTAAAATAGATTTATTATATAAAATTATCTTTTTTAGGTACTTTTTTTTAATACTCACTGTTATTTACTATAGTGGATATTCTTGTAGGAGGTTTTTTTAAATTAAAATTAAAATTACTATTTACTTAAATTACGCAATTATACGTTTCTATAAACTTCTATACTAAATTAACTTTTAATTTAATTTTTTATATTTTTATGATTTATATTCATGAAAATTTATTTTCTTATTTATAAAGCTAAACCTTAAATATATAATAAACAAGATATTAATTGTATGTACTTTTTACTAAAATCCAAAAATGTAAATAATTAATCATTAACATTTTTTTATGTATATATTTGATATTTAAACGAAGAAAAATTATTTTAAAAGATGTGTTTTTAGTAATAATTAATTCAACTGAATTTATCAATCACAATAATAAAAATTACTACAAAATCAATATAAATATATAATAAAAAAAAATAAAATATATTTAGTTATTTAGGTTGACAAGACATTCTCGTTTAGAATTTGTTTTCGTAGGTATGCAATGATTTATCGTTGAACTAAACTTTAACACGTCCGTGATAATGACCTATTCAATTTTTTAGTTAATTTTAGTAATGTCCAAGCATAATTTTTTTATATTTATAAAAAAAAAAAAAAAAAAAAATCGAAAATGTCTATAATAACCTGTAAACGTTTTGAAAGTTTTATTGAGTATATTATAAAATAATAATAACATAAATGTTAGATAAAAATTTAGAGTATATGAGATTGTTTGTTTTTGAATTACAACTGAACGACAAAATTGATTTTATCGAATAGCGCTTTACGTAAAAACGTTAAGTCTTCCTCAGTTATTCCCCCCTCCGATAATTAATAAAAGCTTTGATTATTTTTGCCGATAGTCCTTTAAAAGCACCGGCTTAATTCATTTCCCCACCTGAAAAGACATCGGAATTGGAAATTGAACCGTTTTCACTATTTCAAAAGATGAAACGTGACGATACACACAAATCAAAATAACGACATATACACATATATATATATATATATATATATATATATATATATATATATCGCCGTAAAATCAATACGTAATCGTTGCTCCGCTATTAGATTCTAAAGCTTTAAAAATGTATGGATTTTTGAGATTATGCGCGTTCGCGTATAAATTGACGGCGGTCGTTAATGAAAATTAATGACTGTGCAGGTGTGACTGACTATCATAGACCTTATAATACTACAGTGTAAGTATACAGTAGCGTAAGGTCTGCGCTAATCACGGTGTGATATCGGTAATAATTAAATTTTCCAGTAAAAAAAAAAAAAATAGAACTAAAGTAAACACACGTAATGTCTCTTTCTTTTTTTTTTTTTTTTTTTTTTTTTTTTTTTCCCCGCAGACGATGGGTTTTCGTCCATAGCTACTTCACTGATGACCGTTCACATGGTGCTCGTGGCGATCGTCGGCACGACTGCGAATTTATGCGTTTTTCTCGCCCTGTCCATGAGCCATAAGGTGTCCAACAACCTTTTGCTGCTCAACCTGTGCGTCGCCGACAGTATGGTGTGCATTATTAGCGGGCCTTTGACGGTGCTCTCTTGGGAATGGCCGGCACTTTCGTCGTACGCCATCGTCAACGCTGTACAGGTGAGATAATTACATAGTACACTGCATGCACTCACTGCACCTTAACTGCACACCGCGAGTGTGCGTGATATCATATTAACCGCGCGGACGGTATATTATGATTGTTGGACGGCGATCAAGACACGCGTCTAATAACCTACTCACGTTTTGAGATCATTTTTTATTATTTTTATTTTATTTTATTTTTTTGTAGGGTCTAATTGTTTTCGATTTATTCGAAAAACCACGACCGTTACTGACGGTACCTTGACGTTTTATCATAATATATTATCGTTTTGATAGATTTCAGTATCAATAATTCAGTTATGCACTTACTGCAGTGTGTTATTATAGTTATCTGTTGCTCAACAACAATAATTATAGTTTCCCGTTACGTTCTAATGGTAAAATATTTCGAACAGCGATGTTTTTAAAGTGATGGTAAAATATTTAATCGATTTGTAATTTTTACTTTCGGTAAAAAGATTACCCATGTTTTTGATTTTCATTGAAACAACCAACTACCGTACTAATGGGAATATTATGTGTCTTACGGGCGTATATTTTTAAATGGTTCTTGGCTGTGTTGTGTTCATTAGAGCCTTGATCCATTATTCAATAGTATAATAATTATATATCATACTAACTATAAGTGAATTGTGCATAGAGGTATTTTGAAATGAATAGCATGTAGGTACTCTACGTCACACGAAAAGAGATTAATATCTAGAATCTAGAATACGTCCCATGAACATTTTTTTGCTTATTATATATTTTTTTTTCAACTATAAAGTGTGTTTGTCTAACCAAATTAATGCTACATTAATTAATAACAATCGTATATATACGTGACAAGTTTATAAATGATTCACTTAACCGACCGCTGCAGCTGTGAAATGCCGTTTGAAACCAAATTAAAACGAAATAAGCAGATGAGACTAAAAAAAAATATTATAGACGACAAAAAAGTTGTACACAATAATTGAAATTTTCATATCTGACATAATAAAGCACGTGATGACCAGAAATGGATTTTTTTTTCCATTTAATTTATGACTGTGTGTTTAATAGAATAAAAATGATAATATTATGTACCATGTATTAATTATCAAATTAGTTCATGTTATTTATTACCATTTACCATAATCAACGAAGTTTAATGTTTAAAATCAAATTTATTTGATTAAATTTATATTACTCGTGTTTGTACGGCAGCATACTCCCAATAATAATTTTTAGTCCTAGACTTTTTTCGACTTCAAATAGTTATTTATTTATTGTTATTAAAATGCGTACACAATTAGGGACTTTCTACAAAAATAATTGGAACAGATGAAACTCATAGTTCACTGTTTGTTTTTTGTTTTTTGTTTTTTTTTTAATAAAATACATATTATGTGTAATGTATGAAAAGGGACAAAGATATATTATAATTTATAGTGTAACCGTAGGAAATGTACCTTTTTGTATTTTTTTATATTTTACACACAAAAATATTATTTCAGCATTATCTACTTTTTTGAATAGTTGTGTTATTATGATGCAAAATTAAAGTATTTTAAAATATATAAATAAATTGTATTTATATATTTATTGTATAGGTATATTTTCTTTTTTACTTAAATGCTATACTACAATACATTATTTTGGTATTGTGTATTGCAAATTTGTTTTTCAAAAGTTTTTTTTCTGATGTCATTGTGGTTTTTATTTAAATCATATAAGCTTATTCAAAATCAGAATCAAAAAGTCTGTAAAAGATTTAGAAATGTTATTTTCATTGTAATATTTTACGAATAAATTTATAACGTGAGACTGTTTTTTTGAAAAAAATAAAAAGTTCTCAAAGTAAATTGGAGAGACTTGGTTTATTGAGTTAATTAATTACGTTTTGATTGAATTTATATAATATCGTTAAAATACCCATGTCACATTTCGTATTATAATAACGTTGTAAACTAATGTCAAAGTTATTTGCTAGTCGAATAAATTGATTCAATATCGTCTCGGTGTTTATATTTCGGCAATTGGAGAAAATAATTGTAGGCTGCAATTCAAAATTATGTCATGACTCATGAGATGTGTTTTGGTTGCGTTGTATTTCATGAATATCCGCATTTGTTTAGTACTTTTTGATATATTACAGTTAGTTTATATACTAGTGTACTTTTAACGTGCTTGTCTATATTATATCGTTCTTAGGATAGTGTTACAATGTAAGCGAACTATGTTCACGGTCATGGGATGACCCGTCTAAAATTCATCCCGATGGGTATAATACCTTTTTGAAATGAAAACAACGCCATGTAAAACAAAATTTTAAATTGAAAAAAAATAGAAAATACTTTTTAATAGCCTCGGGGCAAAAAAATAAAAATAAAACAGAGAATGAACTGAAATGTAAAAGCATAATTTGAATTTTGTATTTAAAACAATTAGGCACATTTACTACATAATATAATAGTATATATCTATCTAAAAACGCGAAATAAATTACCAATGTGAAACAAAACTATTTTAAATACCTTTTCTAAATTCGTAAAGAGTCCGCAAATTTCAGTCGATTTTTTTATAATGTTACACTGGTAAAATTTTATTATTATGCTTAAATAATAAAAATAAACTTTATTACACAAATATGGAATTGATGCATTGTAAACGATTGTTATATAATATTGTTAAACTTTAATACACTGGTGTACTTTTTTTTTTTTTGTTTAATTTACATATAAACGATTTTAATTACTTATAAATTATGATGAACTATGTGGATAACCTTGGTTTTTTGGATAATCATCATATCCTAAACTATTCACGCGAATCAGGCAAAATTTATTGTGTTGTTTATGCAACGATTGCCGTCTATCGAAATCGTATATTGCTATTCTTAGGTAAATATTTATTTATTCTTATGGCTATTATGCTGAGTGTGAGGAAAAGTGCGTGTGGCTGACAGCTAACTTAAGGTTTTTCCATCGCGCGTTGTAGTATATTATAATGACCGATGCATACTTGGTGGGAGTGTGTGACACGCCGATTAGCACGGCCATCAGGGAACGCCCGCACTCACGGCACGTCGGTAGACCATATTCAGACCGGTAACTCTAATATTCCTTATTCATTATTATAAATTATCTGTATTGTATTTTATCAATATACGATATATCTATATCTATATTATATGTACTTATATATGTTACCGGAAAAGATGATAATTCAGGAATTGTTGTGATTTCCTAGTCATTGTTGACAATGATTGAAAAGGATAGGAAATGTTGATTATTTCGTAGCTCTATGGGCATTTCCGTATTATATTAGACAATGTTATTAATCCGCATCAAAATAAATATCAACATTGTTTTATCGGTGATCGATCTGATTAAGAAACACATATGTCACTGGTAGGTGACATAGGCAACCTATTGTAACTATATTTTTAACAGTATATCTGGATCACAAGGATTTACAACCAATAGATGTGCTTTTTGTGCATCAAATAAATTATGTAATTATAAGTGTTATAACAATTTACAACAGTTTACCACAAATAAAAAGGACGATAAAATATAAAATATTGGTGTTACATAAAAAAACAAAAAAAAAAAAAAATCGATGTAATAAAGATAATAGTTAATCCTAAATATTTTAAGATTTATCCTAAATAAATAATTAGTACTATAATATATTATTGGATTGTTAATTTAATTTTCAATGTTATCATTAGGGTTAGGATGTTTATGACCTATAAAGACTAAAAAATACATGAAAATATGCTAAATAAATATCTAAATATACCCTTAAAAAAATTATATATGTAATTTACGTTATATTGAGCTTTATATTATTGTATTTAAGTTATTTTTAAATTTAAGACATAAAATTGAATATATTTGATTCTGTATCAACGAATTTATTACTGAATCTGCAATATGCACGACTAAAAGAAAAAATATGCAAAAGTCATAAACATCCTAACCTTAGTTATCATCCTATACCTTCTTTTATTAGGAATTGTTCTCAATGACAAGTTATTGATATTAATTCCTTGCTAAATCAGGCATTATCTTTATTGACTAGGCATTTGCCGTTTGTCAAATTGACTAAATATCACCTTTTCCGGTAACATGTGTATAAATATATTACACCAAGATTTGAATACTTAATTTAAATAACGTAACCCTGATATTTATCGTTAATATTATACACCAAGGTCGAGTCTCAAAGAGATGTTCTTGTTGAGTTTTATTATTTCTTGTTTTATACTCAATAGTGCTAAGTAATAATATTATAATATAATAGGCAGATTTGAATATTCTTTTCAATAGTCTCTAATAAACATTTGCGCTCTTATCCCACCTTAAAAAAAGACGAGTACTTATCATGCTTTATTTTTCAGATAAAAAATTTTTATATTTCTATAATACCAGGACAGGTAACTTGAATAGGTACTAAATATTGATTTGACGTGTCTATGTCATGAGTTCAAGTAAGTCGCATACTGACCAAAAAATAAAATTATTTACAATTTTTGTTTTTCTTATTAAAATAAATAAGCCGCAACATCAAAGATTATTGGTTTTAGATATTAATATACTATAATAAAAATCTGTAGAATAAACACAGAAAAGGGAGACATACATTTTGTATACAATAATGGATTATGTTTGGATTGTCCATACTTTAAATAAGGTTATATAATTTAGTTAGTTTAAGGTAGGTAAATATTTTTTCGATGTTGTCAGAATATGAGCTTAGGGTTTTTTCATATATTATGTTTATATTTGATTATGTACTTATTTACAATTTATTAAAAAAAAATAATTAAAGATATTGGTGTTGATAAAGTAAATCATTCAAATTTTTCGCTGGATAGAAATACAGAATAATGGTATATTACGATTGAATATTATATTTTTAATGTACATAATATAAACAATTCTTAAAAAATATCTATGAATATTATTCTACTTATACATTCCTATAAAAAATATTAAGTTTTAAATTATATTTATCAATTTCAA